CAAGAATCCTAAATTAATTCTATTTCCCCCTCTCGAGCGTCAAATAGAACATATCTCTATATTTTAACCCCAATATCTCTATTCCGAATTAAATATATAAAGATTATCACGTACTTGGTTCTTGTTTTACCCTCAAAGATTCGTACTTTCTCTCGAAATCTACAAACCTAGGTTATATTGTTCTTAGATCACGCCTAAATTTCCCTCTCTCGAGCGTCAAATTTAAAACATCAATTCATTCAATTGGTGATCAGGCAAAAGAAAGCATTAAGCAAGAACAATAAAAATTCAATTCTGGAAAATTAAATAGAAATACTATAAAGAAATCGAATCATGTCTCAAATAGGCTACATCAAACCCTAGATTTAATAACTTAGTTCATGATTGAAAAGAAGAACATGATAAAACACAAATTAAATTTCATGAAGAAGAGAAAGATAAGAAAAAACTCAGGTTGTTGCTCTATTTCTCCATCTTGTGGCTTGATTCTCAGTTTTTTTTCTTCTTCTTCTCCAAAATCGATTCGATCTTCTCTCAATTAGTGTATACCCTTACCTCCTTTCTTCAGCCATCCAACCCCTTTTCCTGTTCTTTTGCTGAGTATTTATATTTTCTAAGGGTCCTCAAGGGTTAGGGTGTGATTTTTGGGCCGAAAAAATACTTAAAAACCCGGATTTTACTGTTTTGGAAACGGGCGCCATGGCGCCCGGGTCTGGCGCGGTGGCGCCCAGGTCTATGCTCCTTTTTTTCTTCATGGGCGCCATGGCGCCCAGGTCTGGCGCCGTGGTGCCCGTTGTTCTGCTTCTTTTCTTTTTTTTTCTTCCTTGGGCGCCATGGCGCCGTGGCGCCCAGGCTTCTGCTTGCCTTTTCTTCTCTTTGTTTTTCCAAGCATATTTTCCACTCCAATCTTATTCAATACTTAGGCCTATTTCCCACTCCAATCTTATTCAATACTTGCTTATTCATGCTCCATTTCATTGATCATCATTTTTGCTCATCACCGGCTCCCAATAGTGATATTTTCTTGAGAATTGTCCAAACTGCAAAACAACACTAACACACACATCAAAACGTTCAAAAATTAGAAGTCAAATTTTTCCTTACTTCGCTCGTGGGATTCACACACCCCCAAACTTATTTTCTTTTCTCCTTCCAAGGGCGTAACCTAAGGTTAAATTTTCAATACTAATTTCTTACACCACTCAAGTTTGGTTAGATTTTACTGATTGTAGTTCCACATGTCAACAAATGAGGATTCTCCTTATTTTTGACTGCTTCAACCTCTAGGAAACAACCGAATTACTAACCTCTTATCAAAGGTCTAATCCTCTAAAACAGGTGTTCGGGGCTTAATCAAAGCATTTGATATCTATTTTTTTCTCTCTTTTTATTTTTATTTTTTTTCTTATTATTATTTTTTATATAAATGTATTCTTTAAACACCCTTTGTGTGGACGTCACTCCCTCAAACTTTCTAAATGACCCTTGTAACGAGCTTTAGGCCGATGACTCCCAAATCAGACGACTTTAGGGCACCAGGTTTTAAACCCTTACAGGCTTAATTACTCGAGTCATAAAGGCTACGAAGAGACGATTCACAATGAGATTATTAAAGTTGTCCTCATTGGGATCTTTTTTTTTTTTGCAATGATTAGTGCAATGCCCCTTATTAAACACATATTCTCGAAAATAGACCTCTAACTTAAAGTCTTCACCCAATTTTCATCCTATTAATCTCAGACAATCCACACAAAATTTAGCACGCATGGAATCCACATTTATCTCCAAGTTTTCCTGCAATAGCTTAACCTACCAAACAACCTATATTTGGTTTAAGGGTATAATAATGTTTAAAGGTTGTTTGGGTTTAGCATCTAAGTTCTCTCATTCAACCTATAAACATGGACCAACCTACTCATGTACAACGCTACAATCAACCCACGTGCAAATAATTTCCGTTTCACACGAATAAGCAAAAATCTAATTCATACAAGTAACTTATCCATAGTCCATGAACCAACACATGTTCTTAATACTATACATCATCGCCAGCAAGGTTATCTGACTCACACAGGCATGCAAAACACGAATTTTTTTTTTTTTTTTACACACTCATACAAAATAAATAAATAAAATATGCAATTTTAGATTTTAGAAAATTGAAGATACTCCCCCCAAACTTAAACGACACATTGCCCCCAATGTTAAAATGGAAGAAGGGGAAGACAGTTACCTTAATGAAGACATCAATCGTCTTCCTCTTCATCAGGTGGAGCAGGAGGGAAGGCATGATGTGGAAGTGATGGCGGTGGAGGGAAGGTGAGCTCGGGATGTGCAGATGCCATAACCGCCATGCAAGCATTCTGGTATTGAAATTGGTCAAAGATGGTGGTTTGTAAATTATTCATTTGTACTTGCATGCCCTCTTGCCATCAGCCCATGCGCAAATCCATGGCTTCAAGACGTCTCAGGACATCCCCCGTAGCATCTGAAGGTTGTGGGGGTGATGGTGTAGGGGGTAACGGACGAGATGATTGAGAAGAGCTGGGCACTTCCCGATGTCCCACACGCCTATCACGGAGGTCCCGTGTAAGTAGTTGTTTCGGGTGTAACACTTCATCAGTTTCGCGCACGGGAACACCCCCTTGTATGCAAAGGTCATGGATCAAAGAGGGGTGATCGAGACTCCCTGTAGCGGGCCCGACAAGGATACGAAGAATACTATTTTGGATGACTCGGCCAACATCAATAGAATATCCTCTTTGAATCACAAAATTCAGTAAGGCCCGTTCCTTTGTGACCTCACTAGTGTTGCTACTGGGGATCAGCTTGGATGATATGAAGTGGTGCCAGATTTTACAATTGGGTGTCAGACCAGATGAAGGGAAGTGGGTTACATCACTAGCTGACCTTTTCCATTCGGTATCAAGGCGAGCTATAGTTCGAATTATCTCCCCAGGATCGATCCCCTCATTCTGGAGTCGGGAATAGTCATCATTGGGTATATCCCGTGTATGGTAGAACCGGTTAATGGAGGCACTATCAAACTTGATCCAAAAATCCCGTACAAAAACCTTGAAGTTCTCATGTTCGTTGGCGTTGGCATAGAACTCTTTCACCAGAGGAATTAAGGCAGCACTAAGATGCTTGGTAAAATTCTCCCACCCCAAACTGTGAATTTTATCAGGTAAAAAATTATCAAGGCCCCTCTCAGGAATGCAATTTTGATGTACCACACTGTGTCTGTAGCATTCCTCTGCTTCAGAACTAATAAATCTTCGACGATCAAACGCAGTAGTAGAGGAAGAGGCAGTGGCCTTGGATTTCTTTTTAGGAGGCATGGATGAAGTGTTCTTGCACAATATCAACTAAAGTTAACCGTCCACCTGATTTGATGAACTAGTCACTAGCTTTTCACTTCTAGATGTGGGTTGTTATAGATGTTATAACCTATAAATATGGGGTAATATAAGAGAATTGGTGTGTGCAAGTGTTGGGGAAAGAGGGGGAGATTAGAGAGGAAAGAGTAGTATAAGGTTTTTGTGGGTAGGGAAATGAAAAGAAAAAGAAGTGTGTTGTTATTTTTAAAGGGAAAAAAACGTGTTGGGCGCCATGGCGCCCAAGTCTGGCGCCGTGGCGCCCAAGGTACTGAAATTTTTTTTTTTTTTTTGTTCTTTCCCATATTGTTTAGAGTTTGATGCAACCATTTTGAGTATGACTTACAAAATAATAAAGAAAAATAAACTTATCAAATTGGCGTAAGAGAAAGAAAAAAAAAACATGTTAAAATAATGAAAAGAAACTTAAGGAATAGAACTTGGGTTGCCTCGCAATAAGCGCTTCTTTTACGTCTTTAGCTGGACGTGGATATGATTTCAAGTTGGTTCGTTAAGGGTAATTTCTTCCACATCCCAATTTTCCTCTCCATAGTAATGTTTGAAGCGTTGCCCATTTGCCTGAAAGGTAGACCCATCCTTGCCTACTAATTCCACTGAACCATAAGGGAATACCTTGCGGATTACAAATGGTCCTGACCACCGGGATTTGAGCTTGCCTGGAAAGAGTTTCAAGCGAGAATTGAATAGAAGAACCGGTTCTCCTACCTTGAATTCCCTCCTTAATATTCTCTTGTCATGCCACATCTTTGTCCGTTCTTTATATATCTTTGCATTTTCATATGCACCGTTCCGGAATTCCTCCAATTCATCAAGCTGCAACAAGCGTTGTGGACCGGCCAATTTCATGTCTAAATTCAATTTCTTCACAGCCCAATAAGCTCGATGCTCCAATTCTACCGGTAGATGACAAGCTTTCCCGAACACCAGACGGTAGGGTGACATTCCAATTGGAGTTTTAAATGCTGTTCAGTATGCCCAAAGGGCGTCATCTAGTTTGAGAGACCAGTCCTTTCGATTGGTATTCACTGTCTTTTCCAGAATCTGTTTAATCTCTCTGTTAGACACCTCTGCTTGCCCATTTGACTGTGGATGATAACCCAATGCCAACTTGTGCTTGACATCATACTTAGCTAGGAGAGAATTGAACAGCTTGTTACAAAAATGTGTACCTCCGTCGCTTACGATCGCTCTAGGCGTGCCAAACCGAGTGAAGATGTTTTTCTGTAAAAATTTCAACACCACTTTTGCATCATTTGTTGGTGTGGCAATGGCTTCAACCCACTTGGACACATAATCTACTGCGAGAAGAATATACTCTTGACCAAAGGAAGGTGGAAATGGACCCATGAAATCAATACCCCACACATCAAATAATTCCACCTCAGGCATACTGGTTAATGGTAGCTCATGATGTCTTGAAATGTTTCCAGTGCGTTGACAGCGGTCACATGTTTTCACAAAAGCATAGCAGTCTTTGAACAAAGTTGGCCAATAGAAACCAGATTGCAATACCTTTGCAGCAGTACGTGTAGGACCGAAATGACCTCCATAGGATGATGAATGGCAATGCTGCATGATTGATCGCGTTTCTTCCACAGGGACACACCGCCTGATTATTCTATCAGCACACTTCTTGAACAAGATTGGATCATCCTACAGAAATGACTTGACATCATGTAGGAATTTCTTCTTTTGATGAAAGGTCAAGTCAGGTGGTAATCTTCCAGACACTAAATAATTTACAAAATCAGCATACCATGGGATCTTTGTTGATACAGCTAGCAAGATCTCGTCGGGGAACGTTTCTCGAATTTGATTGTCATCCCCCACCTTTTCATTCTCCAATCATGAGAGATGGTCTGCAACGACATTCTCACTGTCTTTCTTATCCCGAATCTCTACATCAAATTCCTGTAGTAGCAGTATCCATCGAATTAGGCGTGGCTTTGCATCCTTCTTTTGAAAGAGGTAATGGATTGCAGCATGATCCGTGTAAATTATCACTTTGGTTCCAATGAGGTAAGATCTGAATTTGTCACATGCAAACACTACTGCTAGCATTTCCTTCTCTGTTGTTGTGTAATTTAGTTGAGCTCCATTAAGAGTTTTGCTGGCATAGTGGATTGCTCGAAAAATCTTATCATGCCTTTGTCCTAAAACTGCTCCTACTGCATAATCACTAGCATCACACATAACCTCAAATGGCTGATCCCAATCTGGTACTACCATTACTGGAGCAGTGACTAATTTTTCCTTTATGGTTTCAAAAGCCCGTAAGCAATCTTCATCAAATACAAACGTTGTGTCCTTCTCCAAAAGGTTACATAGGGGTTTTGCCACTTTTGAGAAGTCTTTGATGAATCTCCTGTAGAATCCAGCATGCCCTAAGAAACTTCGAATGCCTTTGACATTGGTAGGTGGTGGTAGCTTTTCAATTGTATCAATTTTTGCTCTGTCCACTTCCAACCCCCTCGCCGAAACATGATGGCCTAGCACAATACCTTCTTGTACCATGAAGTGCCACTTTTCCCAGTTGAGAACTAAATTCCTTTCCTCACAGCGTTGCAGCACTAAGGAGAGATTATGAAGGCAGTTATTAAAAGAAGTACCGAACACCGAGAAGTCATCCATACATACCTCCATGATGTCTTCAACCATGTCTGCAAAGATTGCCATCATGCATCTCTGAAAAGTGGCTGGTGCATTGTATAACCCGAATGGCATCCGTCTGTAGGCAAAAGTTCCATATGGACAGGTGAAGGTTGTCTTTTCCTGATCTTCTGGTGCTATAGCAATCTGGTTGTAGCCCGAATACCCATCAAGAAAGCAATAGTGAGAGTAGCCAGCTAATCTGTCCAACATTTGATCAATGAACGGCAGTGGGAAATGGTCCTTTCTTGTTGCCTTATTCAGTTTCCTGTAATCAATGCACACCCTCCAGCCAGTTACCGTTCTTGTCGGAATTAGCTCATTGTTGTCGTTCTTAACTACTGTCATCCCTCCTTTCTTTGGTACCACTTGCACTGGGCTGACCCATTCACTGTCTGAAATGGCAAAAATGATTCCTGCCTTTAGTAGCTTTAGAATCTCCGCTCAAACCACTTCTTTCATTGTTGGGTTTAACCTTCTTTGATGTTCGATGGATGGCTTGTAAGACTCTTCCATGAGGATTTTGTGCATGCAGATTGTAGGACTTATCCCCTTGATGTCAGCTATTGACCATCCCAAAGCGGCCTTATGATCCCTCAACACTTTCAATAATCTATCCTCTTCGTCTCTGGTGAGTGATGAAGAAATAATTACTGGAAATGCAGACTTATCCCCCAAGAATGCATAGCGAAGGTGATCTGGTAGTTGCTTCAGTTCAATCTTACTGCTTTCATTGCTTTCTTTGTCATCTGCTTCCTCTGACTGTTGAATATCCTCACATTGTGATGGGTTTTCCACAACTGATGTAGATTCAAGAGCCAATATGTAATCAACCAAATCCTTGCTCCCGATGTACTCTCCAAAAGTGCTGATATCATCCTTTGTTGTACTAAACATCATACAATGCTCGAGAGGATCTTCAATACACAATTTCTCATCTTTCACGGCAGAATCGATGAAGTCAATCCTGTGGCAAGTATCATTGTCATCTAAGTACTTCATTGCTTGGTAAATGTTGAACCTCACCTCTTCTTCATTCACTCTCAATGTCAATTGTCCCCCTTGTACATCAATTAAAGCTCTTCCAGTTGCTAAAAATGGTCTGCCTAAAATCAGTTGAATTTCCTGATCTTCTTCCATATCCAATACCACAAAATCAGCTGGGAAGATGAATTTGTCGACCTTTACCAGCACGTCTTCAATAATTCCTCGTGGGTAGGTGAGGGACCTATCAGCTAGTTGTAAAGTCACTGTTGTTGGTTTGACCTCCCCGAGGCCTAACTTCTTGAATACAGATAACGGCATTAAATTGATGCTTGCTCCTAGATCACAAAGGGCCTTTTCAAAGGAAGAGCTTCCAATGGTGCACGGAATAGTGAAGCTGCCCGGATCTTTTCTCTTCTGAGGAAGTTTCTTTTGAAGAATAGCGCTGCATTCCTCTGTCAATTTTACTGTTTCATATTCCTCCAATTTTCGCTTCTTTGACATCACTTCCTTCATAAACTTTGCGTAATTTGGCATTTGTTCCAAAGCATCTGCAAAAGGAATATTAATATGAATTTTCTTAAAGATTTCTAAAAATTTAGCAAATTGATTATCAAATTTTTTCTTTTGAAAACGCTG